TTTGAAAGTTATATGGAGCGGCGGCGGGATTGTCGTTATTTATTTATTTATTTATTTATTAATTTATTACACGTAAACGTGTGCCAAAGCCTGGGTGAGTGACGAAAACATTGCTAGAGTAAAAAACTAGAGTAAAAAACTAGCCTGTCACCTTTCACCAGAACAAACAAACAGCGAATAAAGGCCTGGGTGTTGAGGAAGAAAAACTTCTATTTGGTCAAGGGAGGTCAGGTGATTGGCATTGGGGAATGCCACTGCCACTTTTCCGGGCTGTCCAAAACGTGTTCATTTGTGTATTTCTCTTTCTTGCTATAGTTTCACTTTCTTTCTTTCTTTTTTTGGCTTGTGAGTGTCAAATCTCTCTTTTTTTCGAGGTTCTGTACATTTCTTAGACATGGTTTACTCATTATGCGGATTATTGCGATGAGGAAAATTGCATAAGATATGAACAAAATGGGATGACAAGGAGGTATCCGCTAAAGCAGCGAATTCTTATGGTGGCTCACGGTTTCATGGTCTAGCAGTTGAAAACTGGAGCTGGTTGAAGGGCGGCTAGCATGCCAACTCCTAGTGGAAGACTCCGGGTAATACAAGTTGATATCTTCTGGCGGAATTTTGATTTTTGGTAATTCGAGCCATACTTGTTCGAGCGTGCGCGTTACTTGTCTTGTCTTCGAACTCCTGTTTCGAGTAGAGGCGCGTCGGGAAATTTTGGAAGTGCGTGAGCCGTATATTGCAGATGTTTCGCGAAAGAGGTGCGTGTTGGGCATCTTGTGCAGAAACAATGGCTCTTCCTGGCGCTAGTGTTCTGCATGACTCGCATGCTCCTAAAATCGTCTATCATTTCGCCCGTGGCTCCATCAAAGGCGCTTCTGGCCTCCTCGATCGCCGCGTGGGTATAGGCCTCGAGGCGATAGTTCGAAATATAGTCAAGGTGTTTTCCTTCGAGCAATTCAATGATCTTGGTGAGCCTTAATATTTGTGATGTCTCTTGTCTTGCGAACATCACTGCAGGCATTCGGCCGTAGTAGTGATAATAGTCATATTCGTCACCAATTTGCGAATGTTTGTAGCGTTGGTTGTACGGATCCATCATAAGGTGGTTAATTTTCGTTACGATAGAGAACATGTTTCTGCAACATAAAAAGTGATTAGTACGCGACGGAGGAGAGAGTGAGGCTGGATGTTAGAAATTTGTTTTTTTTTTTGGATTAAAGAGTTTCAAAAGTATGCTCTAAAATGGGACAAAAGCAGAGGAGAGAGAGGAACGTTTGTCGCTCCATGGTTAGGTAAGAATGAATATGATGAGGTGTATGATATTGATATTGATATTGATTGTTTATTCAGTAAAGACAAACGCAAAAGACAAACAACACAACGATTTACCGAATGCGAATAATAAAACAAACAACTCATGAAAAAAAACAAGTAAACAGGTTGCAAGAAATCCTAAGATGATACCAGCATGTTACGAGATTTAAGGTACTCAAGCAAATGAGAGCAGAAAGATGCCGCAGATGAATACTTTAAAAGCTGGGGGTCCAGACCATTCCAGGGCATCTGCACCCTTCCAATGAAGCTTTGCTTATAGGAAGAAAGCCTGGCTTTATCGACTTTAATTTTGAACGGATGGCCTCTCGTCAAATTTGTTCGCTGTGGTTCTTCAAAAACGTCAAAAAGGTTAAGGTCAAGTTCGTTTGTGGTGAGCTTATAAATGAATGCAAAATCCGCAAGAACCCTTCTGTCTTCCAGTATAAGGGTATGCAATTTTCGGATTCGGCCGAGATAAGACAGTTCGAAAATGCCTTTTCTGGCGAAAATTCTGTAAGTAAAAGACTTCTGGACTTTCTCTATAGCTTCAATATGTGCTCTATCTTGAGGAGACCACAGAGGCGAGCAGTATTCGAGTAAAGGTCTAACGTAAGCAATAAACAGTTTAAAAAGCAATATGGGATCTCGATTGCTGAATGCTTTGAGGATATGATTTGATCGGCATTTAGCCTTTGAGACAATCTCTGAAATGTACCCATGAAAGTCGAAGCTGTCAGTATACTCAACACCAGTGAGTTCATGGGGAGGGGGTATTTATACGTATGTGAGAACCCGCCCTTTCGGCTGTGTCCCTGAGCCACAGCAGGGGGGTTTTCTTAAGATTGGACTCTGATTAATGATTCGTATAGTACGATTTGTTTTTATAATGCTATCATTGAGAGGAATGTTACGGGAAAATGTCAGGAAGTTGTTGTTGAAGGCGTTCTGAAAGGTTGGAATTCGTTGTGAAAGGTCCGAGTCGTGTTGGAGGTAAGGTTGTAAGTTTAGATAAATACTAATTTACTGCGCATGAACTGTAGAGCGGTCACTTAATTGTTTTGAATTTTACCTTATTCGCGAGGGTGACGCTTAGACGACCTGGCCAGGCTTCTCCTACGCCATGAAAATAGTGGGGAGCAGTTTGCTCTAGTCACATAAGTTGAGAAATTTTTATGTTGTCTCGCGATAGAGTGGCGTAGATGTGACTTAATGCGCTTATAGAAGTGAATATATTGCATTAGTGTATTGTTTAGAATAGGTAAGTAAAATAAATGTTCTTTTGCCGAGTTTTATAAAGGTAAAAGCCGGTCCGGAACCTCCATGTAACGAATTTATTTTTTATGGTTGTCGTTAAGCTAAGAGTGATACCGTAGCTGGACTTTTCCAGTAACTACTGGAAAAGTCCAGCTACGGTATCATTCTTAGCTTAACGACAACGACAATAGCCTACTGCCTATTTTCCCATAACTGGCATTTGAGATAAAATCAAGACTTTCTTCCTAAGCATTTATCAAGCAATAGGGAACTGAACATTACATAAAGACTTATGGCTGCAGACGACGAATAGGAGGGCGGCATGGATGCATGGATATATTCAAGTAGAAAATAGGATAAACCAAGCGGGAGCGAAAGAAGATTAGTCAAGCAGGGCTAGTGCTTCGGCTCAACCTTACATAAACACGGTGATAGAATGGAAGTGAATAAATACGAAGCAAATATACCAAAGGAGAATAATATGGGATAAACACATGATTAAGAGATCGAATTAAAATAGAGAGCGAGTGATTAAAAAATGAGGGGGTGGGGCGGAGATGTGGAGACGATGTTATTGAAGAGGCAGCTGCGAAGCTGCCTCAAGTCCGAACCCCTCCGTGGGTGGGGCATATTGCTTTATATAGCCCCTAGGCGAGCTTTGAGGCGGGGCGAGGGAGGCGAGGAAGATGGATCAATAGCGCAGATAGTTGCGCTTTTCCTACACTTATCAACTGCGGTGTCAAAAGCACCAGCATCTCCGCTCCCGCGCGGCCGCATCGCCTGGGGCGGTACTTATCAATCTCCTATATAGGAAGGGGTTTTCCTACAGGTAACAGACCGTACAGGCGAAGGACTGGCTCCAGCGATATATGAAGCCAAGCTGGTGACCGGCTCCTGTCTACTGAAGAATACGATCCGATCTGGCAAGTTTGACCATGTCGGGCAGCAGTTCTCTATCTCGACGAGTCGGGCGGCGCTGCTTTGGGTCGCGCTTCCCAGACTTTCATAAATCGCGGGAAGGGCGCTCTCGACTGTGCGGGCTCTCGTCAACAACGGCCCGCCAGTGGACCACAGCGAGCGGGAGATTGATAAATACCTCCTTTAGACTCTTCAACTTTTTCGGAACATGCTTTCTGAGCACTTTCCCAAGACGGAGCCTCAATCGATTGGATATTAGACAGCATGTTTGCGGAAATGCTGCAGAGTCCACCGCGGGAGTGGAGATGCTTGCTGGTGCACCTGACACTGCAATTGATAAGCCCTGTGCTCATCCACCTTCTATGAGAAAGTGGAAGAATTATCCGCTTCTCACCAAAAGAGGAAGAAGGAGAGAGAGAGAGTGAGTTAAATTACGTGAACGTTACTGTACAAAGCCATCGCAGCACAGACTTGACACATCAATTTATTGCACCTGCGACCTGCGATTGACCATTGATGTCAAAGACAAAACTATCTTAGAGCTGAAGCTTCTCGTACAGACTCTTGTAAAGTAGCAATGGCGGACCGAGGAGGGGGGCACCCCCCCCCCCTCCCCCGAGAATGGGTCGCGAAATTTCTGAAACTTACCTGCATGGGTTATAAAAATGTGCAAATGACTTGTTAATTCCCGTAAATAATTAAAATAATTTTTTAAATTTTTTAAAAATTCAAATTGGCCTTGTAAAAAAATTTTTTCGGGGGCGTGGCTGACGCCACGTCCCCTTTTTCTACATTTTAGGGGTCTGGGCCCGAAAAAATTCTATGGAGCACCCCAAAAAAATTTTCAGAGTGCGTGGCTAACCCCACGCACCATTTGAAAAGATTCCCCCCTCCCCCCCCCCGGATGGAAATCCTGGGAGCGCCACTGTAAAGTAGACTATTTGTCTCCGAAGACGCGCAAAGCATGGCGTAAGTAGGACTTGCAAAAGTAGCTGGAACTTCAACTACTTGATGGATACATATTTCTCACTTCAGATGTTCTATGTACTATTTTGCAGCGTCCTATATAACACGCGGCTACACCTAATCCACTTGAAGGCAACATCCGGCAAAATCTGTTCAGTTTTTGACGTACTCGAAACCTTCTCGCCATGAGTAACCCATGGGTCTTTCAGCTCATGAAAATGGCGAAAACGAACCTTTTCCGAAGCTCCAGGTCGCAAGTGAAAATACGCCGGAAGTTTCCGCGCCCCGCCTCACTCGTTTAGGACCCCGCCCCCTTATCTATACGCATTTTCCACTGAATGCGGACCTGCAAGTTTCGAGTACAAGTCATTCTCGCCATTTCCAAGCGTTGAAAAGCTCAGATTGGGTTCTTCACGGCGAGAATTCTCTGAAAACGAGAAAAACTGGAAAACGAAATTTTGCAGGATTGTCCCACTTCGCTATTGGTCAAAGCAGCGAACTGACAACAGCGGAGCGGATGTCCATTTAATCTATTTGATATACCTCGTAGACCCCGCCACTGATTCGACCAAAATGCAACTAACGCGCCCTAATTGAAATACCCGTCCCACGGCCAAGTGTTTCTTTCAAACAGTGATATATAATCTCTTTATCACTTGGCAGTTTTCGAAAATCTTCGTAGAATATGTCAGGGAGGTCAGCTGCTGATGACTTCTTTGGCATAGAGTATATGTCGACACAGCAGTCGCCAGCAGAAAAGCGGGAATCGGTAGGTTTTGCGAAGTAGTGCTCTTTTTGGATCCCTAAGTTTGTAGGAAGAAGATAGATCAGACACATTTCTCAAAAAGACAACGAATTCGACAACTTCTGTTCGTACTAATGCTGAGGAAACTGATGTCCAGTTATCAGGAACGGAGTTCTTGGACCAGGCTTTTTTCGGTGAAGGGCTCAAACGTCACGTAAGCCACTTTTTATGTCAAAATTATTACTTCTCAATGTTTTTATAGGAGAAGTTCTCTGCCGAAAAAGATCTCAATCAGTCGCAAGACTTTTTCGAGGAAAACTTTTTTAAAAGAAAACCTCTGAAAGAGTCAGTATCAGGGATTCCGCGGTTGTTGGAAATAATGCCCGAGAATTTCAGTATGAACGCTGGAACTTCTCCGGAATCTCATTTGCCAGAAGAGTTGAGGAGCAAAGATATTCATCAAGAACGAGCACCAGTTAAAGCTTCACGTAAACGTCGACATGTTGAGAAGAAAACGAAGGAACCTTTAGAGGCAACAGTGGAGGAATTCGAGGTTTGGTTCACAACTCTCATGTTATGGGTACTTGTCGTTGATTCCTAGTTCGAGTTTGAAACATCTCTCTCAATCCAGCATTATAGTGTGAGAAAATTTTTTAGTGATGTATAAATTCCCAATGATTTTTATGATACGTCTATTCCAAACGGGAGGGGGAGGGGGGGGGGGGCATTTGCAACTTACGGACTGGCGCTCACAGTTCTACTATTTGTGGCACTTTTGTACTAGCGGTAAGCGTGGTAACTCCTTTGAAAACTCGCAGCCCGATGTATCGGTCATTGATTAAAAAGTCTGATAGTAGAGTGATTTATGTACTCACCCCAGAAAGAGTAAACATGCATAGAAAGGAAACTTGCGGTAATCAGGTCGAAAGTGGAGAACCAGGAGTGCATCATTCAGACGGTCTTGACAAAATCCGTTCAAAGATCCTCCCTGTGTGGAGACTGAATCAGGACGAGTTGATCGATCTCATGATGGAGCGAGTAGTTTATAGCGATGGTGAGTCAAATCGTGCGTTCATTAGAATTTATTTAAACAGATAACAGTTTTTCAGATAACATAGTTGCTTTTGACAAACCATATGGCATGGCTTACTCTGGCGCTTCTCCGAAGACTCCCCAACTCGACCGAATTCTGCAAAAATTAAAGGTAAGCACTTCGATAATTTCCACATAAGATCTCAGCTCTTTCCTTATAGGGAAGAATCGCACCAAAATGTGAACGGCTGCATCTGGTGAAGTCGTTGGACATGCATCAATCGGGTGTCATCGTATTTGCAACGTAAGCCAAGCATATCTTTTAAATTTGAGTGGTACACTGATATATCTTTTCTGTTTGAGGAATTCGTTGATGCAGTCAACATTGAAGGATTGTATAAATTCCGGTCAAATGGAACAAGTTAGCAGGTCGGAAATTGGGTTACCATGGATTCATTTTTTAAAATTTCCTTTTTTCTAGGTGCATTGTTCGCGGTGAACTCACCGATTCGCCCCTGAAAATAACGATACCTCTCATCAAAACGGTGAATGGTAGAGATATGAAGGTTAGTTAATCATTTCCTATAGACCACTCTACTATGTTAAAGTTTTTTCAAACTATAGAATCTTGTGCGTACAGCCGATCTTTATGGCCATATCTTGGACATACATACATCGCATTAGTTCACGAAGTGTACTAGATTCACAATTATGTTCTTGTACTGTTAGCATTCCTTCCTTGTATATATGCACATGTGTATTGATTAGCCTTATTACAATTTATGTCAGATGATGCCATTGGTCACCAACAAGGCAAAAGGAGAAATTTTCTATGTAGAATCCGAGTGCCGCACTATCAGAGGGAATCAGTATGTCTCAAGCGTGGAGGCAATCACACATAAAGGTAGGTAGTCTTGAAATTCAAATCTTCATGCGGATTATCTTTTTTAGAAGCACCCCATCAAGTACGTGCTCATCTTGGGTTAGCTGGTTGTCCTTTGATTGGGGATGCAAAGTATAGCACTTCTTCACCACGACCGCCAAGGTTTGCCATTTCTTTCCCATGGTTTTATCCACACTTCTTTGTTTGACTGGTTGTTCTCCTCATCTTACTTTATTCTCTTGTACCGTTACCAGAATGTTTGGCGACATATTAGGTCGTTCCGAAAGTAGTGTCGCTTTTTTCAAACGTACGCCAGATCTCGTGAAACAAAGATTTGTAAGAGGTTCTGGTAGCATTTGATGCAGCATTTCATTCTCTTTCTAATGGTTATATGATCCCTGCACAAAATTCAATAATCTCTCGAAAATTATCAAAATCTGCGACCCTTTTAGGAGGTCAGGTTTCAGAATTTTTATAATAACAGCCCTTGGAAGGATTACAAGTAATGGATGGATAGAGCAAACCCTATAGGAAACAGCACAACTTTTTTCTACTTCCCAGAGCTCGTCATAATTTTTGTATAGATTTTTTGATAGAACCACCAATTTTAGCAGGCTCATCTCAAACACAAATGCACCAAACACTAGTAAATGTTCAAATTCTGGGACTTAAAAAGATGGTTTATGGTTTGACACTAATTTTACAAACCAAATAAGCATTCATAGCTTCAGATCAGCAACTTTCAAAAATTCCGGGTACAGCCTGGGGCGCCCTGGAAAACCTGAATTATGATGGTTTTATCCCGGAAGACTTGATGATTCGGAAACAAAAAACAACTGGTAGAAAGGGGAGAAAAAGCTGCGTCGATCGACACCCGCGTTGCTTGCCGGTTGTTGTTCTGTGAGGTTTGAATCGACCAAATATGGAATTTGATGGCATGAAAAAATTGATTCCAGAAACTCTGAGAAGCAAGCTAAGGAAAAGAAAAAAATTATTTTGTGTCCTGTAGGGTTTGCTCTATCTACATATCATTTGTACTTCTTCGGAGAATAGGTACAAAAATTTAGAAAAATAGCCGGAACATAACCATGGCAAACAGCATATCGCAGATTTTGGTAATTTTTCGAGAGCTCATTGAATATCATGCAACGAATTTACAACCATTAGAAAGAGAACTTAGAAAGAGAACGAAATGCTGCATCGAACGCTTCTAAGACCTCTTGAAAATCTTGATTCCACCAAATGTGCCGTTTATTTGAAAAAAGCGACATTACTTTCGGAACGAGCTAATATATTAGGTTGTCCCAAACGTTCTTGCGCCGGATTTTCAAAAAATCATAACTTCCTTGTCACTCGATGGATTTCCTTGAGTTTAATTTCATTTGAAAGAAGAAACCTTTCTCTTTACAGCGGTACCTTTGCCATGAATTAGTATTAGAAAATTGGAGAGCTATAGGCAATTGAAGGAAATCAGTCAGGATCGGCATTTTTCAAGATGGATCACGAAAATTCTGCAAGTTTTTTTTATTTGATAGAAAATTTTGCACGTTACAGTGGTACCTTTTTTATGAATTAAAACGAAGTAGATCGAGAGTTAGAAGCAAATAAAGAAAATTTCTTTAGTTTTGCAATTTTTGAGCATGCTCATAAAAGTCTAGAAATGTCACAGAAAATGCGGGAAAGCCATTGAGGAAAATCCATCGAGTAACAAGGAAGTTATGATTTTTTGAAAATCCGGCGCAAGAACTTTTGGGACAACCTAATATATTTCGGTATTTTACCGCGGTTACCGCAACTATTGCTGTTATCGGTGCTATTCCTTCAAATGAATGATTGGTCTTGCAGTTTTATTTTCTGCTTGCAATCTCCCGGGGAAGACTAAGTTCTCTTTCTCATCAGCAGAGCGTGAAAAGACAAATTCACTTACTCCATCGAGATTGTGGACGGTAAATGTAATGTAGACTGTAAGGTGCCATTCATAGTGGTAAGGCAATAACAACATCACCAATGCTAACGACATATAAGGCCTTCGCTAAATCACTTCGCTATCATGCCTTTTGAGAAGTTTCACAGGTTGAGGTGTTACTGATTGCAATTCAATAGAATCTTCGTCTAGGCAAGTCTGAGAGAGATCTTGTGAAAGGTGATGGGAAACATAATTTGTTATTGTTACCATTACTTCATACACATGTTCGTACGCCTGTCTAAACCATGATTTCTTACTTTAGGCTTTCTTATCATGTGTTGAACATGCTAGGCATAACGGACTCGCAGAGCCGGAAGATTCCTATGTATCTTCATGTTAAAGAGGTACTTCAGTCCAGTTTTCAAGGTCCTCGATCCTTCTGTTCATTATAGGTCAACTTTCCTGGAATATCGAAGCCGGGCAGACCGTTACACATGTCTGCTCCTCTCCCAGAACATTTCTCTTGGATGCTGAAGAAGTTGAAACTGCTAAAATTGAAGCATTGACATGACAGTCAGTGCTTTTATTTACATAGTATACGGGTGTTTCATGTTGTCAACAATACTTGATACTTTGATATAATGTTCTCTCCTCAAAGTTTTATTCGATAATTGACACTTTTTGATCTTCTCCTTGAACTTACTCTGACGCTTTTTCTAATGTCGAATAGTGAGGGTATTTTACTACGATTATGTTGTGTTCATCTAGAAGACTAGTGAAAGATGTAGATCACAGAAAGTGACTAGGTGCTGTTCTTGTTACTTGTCGTTTTATTGTTTTGATAAATAAATTTTTCAAAATCAGCCATGGAATATACCTAAGGTTACTGCCTGTTATCGCAGGTCCTTGTCGAATAAGTTCACAATGTTCTTCTTGCGCACGACTGCACATGTCAATGCGGCATTTTCAGTTCTTGTATGAATTCTTACGGCGGCCGACTCTACATAGATATTCCTACTTGTTCCTCTTCGGAGTGTAGAAAAAAGCTGCTGAAATGGAAATGTACACCAGAAGTTGCGCGGTCAATTTTCAAGTTAGCCAAAGGTAGCAAAGAAACTTTTGAAAGACGAATTAGGAGACATTATTCATTGAGTGACGGAGAGGTGAGTAGTTGGTCTTGGCATGCTATTTAATGTTGGGAACTCAGTAAGATTTCCTTTTCTCTCTATAAAATTTCTCATTCCATTTCAGGATTTCGCACTCAGGCTGTATCTTTCACAAACCCCTATGGAAAATATTGACTATAAATGGTGAGTTGCTCGGGGCAGCGATGCTCAATGTCACTTGCAAGCTATGTTTGTTTACGACCACAGCAGTTTGTGACGGGCCGATATTTAGGGAATCTCGGATGTTATACTTGTTTATGAAGTATCTCGAACTGGAGCGCTTAATGTGGAATTTATCCACGCTAGGAGGTGCCTGCTCTGCTATGGCTGATTATGACATGACATTTGTAAGCTGTAGAGACAGTCGCATCATCTGTATACCATGGGATAGTTTTAGGCAAAGCGAGCAGATATGATCTCGCAAAAACAAATGAGGATAGCTGCAGAACTAGAAGACCGCACTTTACTCGCCCGATGCCACCTCTACATAGCACTTAGTACTGCTCAACAAGCCGATTTTTCTTCAGCAAAACGAATAGTCAGGTGCGATTTTTAAACCACATATGAGGCTACAGCTACATGGCTACAGTTTTCGTTTTAGGATCATATATGTGTGGTCAGTTCACACTCAAAATGAATTCATCGAAGCCTGCTGCCGCGGTGTACGAGCAAAAATCAAGTCCATACAATTATTTGGGACGAAAGCCCTACGAAATGACAGCCGGCGTATTATTGAAATAGAGAACTAATGGGTATTTCTACTTATTTATCATTCATGTAAACAGGTAGATAAATTATTCTTGTACAAGTCATGTGATCGAGCAACCTTCATTGGGGGCGAATTATACAGGGTGTCCCAAAAAATGTTTCGAACGTTTGAACGTTAATATCTCTCTTCCCAAGAAGTCTTTTGCCTTGCTTCAGGTACCGTTTTGTAGAGCTGGCTTCAACTTAGATTTGCATTATAGAACGAATCACCCATCTCTCTTCATTACTGTAGGATTACGGTAGAAACTTGAAACATATAGTGTCAATGTGGAAAAAGCTGCCGTTTCAAAATTTTTCAAAAAATTGTGAAAAATTGTGTAATAGGGTTTTTATAGACGCTGAGTTCAATACTCAACTATTCACAAGATTACGAAGCTTTCTAAACGGTGTAATCGCACTTTTTAGGAACATTGAAAAAAAGGCCGCTACCTCTCACCTGGCATAACTCTTCAATGAAGCATCATAATAAGTTGTGAACTTTACAGTTATAATCAGCAATTCTAATTAGCCTGGTGTAAAAGTTTTCAGGTTGTTTTGTTTCCTTTCTGAGGCAAAATATGGCCTTTCATGGTTCAAAACCCTCTTTGAAGTTTCTACCGTAACCCTACAGTAATGAAGAGAGATGGGTAATTCGTTCTATAATGGAAATCTAAGTTGAAGCCAGCTCTACAAAACGGTACCTGAAGCAAGGCAAAAGACTTCTTGGGAAGAGAGATATTAACGATCAAACGTTCGAAACATTTTTTTGGGACACCCTGTATACGAAATTTTTAAACTGTCGGCCGAAGCATTCCATGAGATTTGAGGCTCAAAAAGATTCTAAAACATCTGAGGGGAAGCGTTCGCGTTTACCGGTTATACATCGGGGTGATTCGGACTTTTCAGTTCATTAACGTAATACAGTGCATGTTAGAATCTTAAGAGCGTGTGAAAGTTCATTTTCTAATTTTTATCAGTTTCTTTTTTTATTTAATCAACTACAGAACACCGAGAATAGAGTACATTTGGAATGTATAGCAGACAAGACACGATCTAGAAGACGCTTCACAATTGACATAGATGCATATCTGCAGTAAAGCACCACAATTCTCCTACAGAAAGAGAACATTGAATCACAGTATGAGAAATCCATCAACCCCGAGCTATAAAAAAACAGCTAAAAGGACTAAGTATCCAAATAACCCATATTTCGTAACTCTGCCCCCAATGAGAGAAAAAAGTCACTGTTCATAGATTGAAAACTGCAAAATGTACTGAAAATGAAAACTCAGTGAATGATCAGACTCAACATATATACAATTAATGTTACTAATAGTGTATGAGTAAGAGTAAGTTAATGACTAGAAGTCAAAAAAATAAATAACAATAAAACAACTCATAGTTTCGTTTAGATACATACAGACATTGTGTAAGGCAAGGTAGGCAAGACAGCTGAAAATGAATGTGTTTGCAAATAACGCTGGGGGTAACTCGAGCTGATGTCAGTGATTTCAATATTGATTGTGAAGAATGAGTCACTTGAGCCTGATCTCCCATATAATGAGGTACTCACTTCTGAGCTCTGTAGTGGCTCAAGTAAGTTGAGATGGAATCTTCAACGGCGAGAATCTAACATACCATAAACGCTGCTGGCAGCACTCAAGATCTGCAGGGACAGAGCTACTTCCACACCCGTCTCTATAGTCAGGGATATATGCTAATGATCATAAATTGGTAGAGGATGAGCTTCGGTGTTGAATACCCATTTGTCCAATGGGAACAAATCCTTTTGATCATCAGCAAACAGAAGATAGAGATATTTGAGAGTCTCAGCAAGGAAAAAGGATTCCATTAGATCTCTGAAATCCGGATGATCACAACGGAAAATCTCTTATGTTATAAACAAACTTGTATGAAACGGGGATTTTCTTGACACTCTTCACTGACGAATAGCCATTTCGCACCCGTGCATATTTCTCAATTGCTTCAAATGCGTTCCAACCCCATTCTTGATAAGTTTTGTTACCTAAATATTGGTAATACTATAAGGATATACATCAAAGCATTAACTGTATAACTTGCCAGTAATTCTGTAGAGGTAAAACCAGGCTTCAATCGCTTCTGGTCGCAAAAGTGAATGTGCATCAAGAGGCTAAATGGCAATGAATAATTTACCGATTTAGATGAAAGCAAAACAATTACTTTGATAGAGAGATCTTCTTTTTGACCAGGTAACATATTGAAGTAGGCTATCTCAGGTCCTAAGCCCGTAGGATTTCTGTACATCGCTTGACAACCGCTGCCAAGACTCTGCAACAGAAAAAACATATCAAGACACGACAAGGCTCCAAATAAGCTTTTTCTCACAAAAGACTTCCAAAGAGGTTACCTCTGCTAACTGCAGATGTTCTTTCGGTAATCCATGAACTGTACCTAGAGCGAGTGTTCCGGCGAGAAAGCAAACTAGGTGATCCTAAAGGTGCAAAACAATAGAAAAAAAAACAGGAACATCTCCAGAAATACTATCACATCAACATCAACTTGTAATTCAAAGCTCACCATCTTTGGTGAAAACGCATCGTTAGAAAGAAGTTCGCCCACAAAGCCGAATTTGCTCGGTTCAGAGTATCTAAATAGTTTCGATTGCATTGATCCCATAGCCATTTTGTAGTCTGTCAGTAACCTAAGATAGAATATCGTGTAAACAAAACGTAACATAAAAAATACACAACAAACCAATCGACTGTTTTGCCAGTTTGCAGCCACTGTTTGAGAAGATACTCGTAGTAACTATCGGCCCTGGCTCCAAATGTAATTGCTGGGCCCGCTTAATTGCAAATAATAAACAGATGCACATGTTCAATGAATTTTGATACCAGTGGCGGTCCATTTTTATAACCCATTAAGTAAGTTTCAAAAATTCCGCGACCCATTCTCGGGGGGAGGGGCGCCCCCTCCCCCCCCCCTTTCGAGCCACCACTATTTGATACCAGTGGCGGACCAAGGGGGGGGGGGCGCCCCCACCCCCGAGAATGGGTCGCGAAATTTTTGCAATCCTTCTATATCTATAAAACCGAATGGGATTTTGTCTGTACACTGGTGGCTTGTCTGTACGCTGGTGGATAAGCATGCTTGTTGATGCTGTCTGTAGGTCCTCGATGTTGTTTTCGTGTTTGTCATTTTCCAGCATGGAAGCTTGTTATTACTTCTACCAAATTTATCGATCATTTGTAAATTTTGAACTACGGGGCTGGGAGTTGGCACAGGGGGGTAATCGAACATGCTGATTACGAATATGATAACCATTTTCAAAAATGCCCATTACTTTTATCATTTTATCGATTTTTTGGCAAAGTTCAAGCTACGGGGCTGGAAGTTGGCACACGGGGGTAATCGAGCTTGCTGATTACGAATATGACAACTATTTTCAAAAATGCCCATTACTTTTATCATTTTATCGACTTTCTGGCAAAGTTCAAGCTACGGGGCTGGGAGTTGGCACACGGAGGTAATCGAGCATGCTGATTACGAATATGATAACCATTTTCAAAAATGCCCATTACTTTTATCATTTTATCGATTTTTTGGCAAAGTTCAAGCTACAGGGCTGGAAGTTGGCACACGGGGGTAATCGAGCTTGCTGATTACGAATTTGATAACCATTATCAAAAATGCCCATTACTTTTATCATTTTATCGATTTTCTGGCGAAGTTCAAGCTACGGGGCTGGAGGTTGGCATACGGGGGTAATCGAGCATGCTGATTACGAATATGATAACTATTTTCAAAAATGCCCATTACTTTTGTCATTTTATCGATTTGTTTGCAAATTTTGGACTACGGGGTTGGAAGTTGGCACGAGAGGGTAAGCGAACATGCTGATTACGAATACAATACTGGTTTTTAGAATTATCAGTTATTTTTATCATTTTATCGATTTTTTGCAAAGTTCAAGCTACGGAGCTAGGAATTGGCACGCGGGGGTAATCGAGCATGCTGATTACGAATACTGTATTAGTTTTTAGAATTATCAGTTATTTTTATCATTTTATCGATTTTTTGGCAAAGTTCAAGCTACGGGGCTGGGAGTTGGCACAGGAGGACAAGCGAACATGCTGATTACGAATACAATATTAGTTTTTAGAATTATCAGTTATTTTTATCATTTTATCGATTTTTTGGCAAAGTTCAAGCTACGGGGCTGGGAGTTGGCACAGGAGGACAAGCGAACATGCTGATTACGAATACAATATAGCTTTTAGAATTATCAGTTACTTTTATCATTTTATCGATTTTCTGGCAAAGTTCAAGTTACGGGGCTGGGAGTTGGCACACGGAGGTAATCGAGCATGCTGATTACGAATATGATAACCATTTTCAAAAATGCCCATTACTTTTATCATTTTATCGATTTTTTGGCAAAGTTCAAGCTACAGGGCTGGAAGTTGGCACACGGGGGTAATCGAGCTTGCTGATTACGAATTTGATAACCATTATCAAAAATGCCCATTACTTTTATCATTTTATCGATTTTCTGGCGAAGTTCAAGCTACGGGGCTGGAGGTTGGCATACGGGGGTAATCGAGCATGCTGATTACGAATATGATAACTATTTTCAAAAATGCCCATTACTTTTGTCATTTTATCGATTTGTTTGCAAATTTTGGACTACGGGGTTGGAAGTTGGCACGAGAGGGTAAGCGAACATGCTGATTACGAATACAATACTGGTTTTTAGAATTATCAGTTATTTTTATCATTTTATCGATTTTTTGCAAAGTTCAAGCTACGGAGCTAGGAATTGGCACGCGGGGGTAATCGAGCATGCTGATTACGAATACTGTATTAGTTTTTAGAATTATCAGTTATTTTTATCATTTTATCGATTTTTTGGCAAAGTTCAAGCTACGGGGCTGGGAGTTGGCACAGGAGGACAAGCGAACATGCTGATTACGAATACAATATTAGTTTTTAGAATTATCAGTTATTTTTATCATTTTATCGATTTTTTGGCAAAGTTCAAGCTACGGGGCTGGGAGTTGGCACAGGAGGACAAGCGAACATGCTGATTACGAATACAATATAGCTTTTAGAATTATCAGTTACTTTTATCATTTTATCGATTTTCTGGCAAAGTTCAAGTTACGGGGCTGGGAGTTGGCACACGGAGGTAATCGAGCATGCTGATTACGAATATGATAACCATTTTCAAAAATGCCCATTACTTTTATCATTTTATCGATTTTTTGGCAAAGTTCAAGCTACAGGGCTGGAAGTTGGCACATGGGGGTAATCGAGCTTGCTGATTACGAATTTGATAACCATTATCAAAAATGCCCATTACTTTTATCATTTTATCGATTTTCTGGCAAAGTTCAAGCTAGGGGCTGGAGGTTGGAATACGGGGGTAATCGAGCATGCTGATTACGAATATGATAACCATTTTCAAAAATGCCCATTACTTTTATCATTTTATCGATTTTCTGGCAAAGTTCAAGCTAAGCAGTGGTATCAACGCAGAGTACTTAATCGAGCATGTTGATTACGAATATGATAACCATTTTCAAAAATGCCCATTACTTTTATCATTTTATCGATTTTTTGGCAAAGTTCAAGCTACAGGGCTGGAAGTTGGCACACGGGGGTAATCGAGTTTGCTGATTACGAATTTGATAACCATTATCAAAAATGCCCATTACTTTTATCATTTTATCGATTTTCTGGCAAAGTTCAAGCTAGGGGCTGGAGGTTGGAATACGGGGGTAATCGAGCATGCTGATTACGAATATGATAACCATTTTCAAAAATGCCCATTACTTTTATCATTTTATCGATTTTCTGGCAAAGTTCAAGCTAGGGGCTGGAGGTTGGAATACGGGGGTAATCGAGCATGTTGATTACGAATATGATAACCGTTTTCAAAAATGCCCATTACTTTTATCATTTTATCGATTTTCTGGCAAAGTTCAAGCTAGGGGCTGGAGGTTGGAATACGGGGGTAATCGAGCATGCTGATTACGAATATGATAACCATTTTCAAAAATGCCCATTACTTTTATCATTTTATCGATTTTCTGGCAAAGTTCAAGCTAGGGGCTGGAGGTTGGAATACGGGGGTAATCGAGCATGTTGATTACGAATATGATAACCATTATCAAAAATGCCCATTACTTTTATCATTTTATCGATTTTCTGGCAAAGTTCAAGCTACGGGGCTGGAGGTTGGCATACGGGGGTAATCGAGCATGCTGATTACGAATATGATAACTATTTTCAAAAGTGCCCATTACTTTTATCAATTTATTTAATATGATAACTATTTTCAAAAGTGCCCATTACTTTTATCATTCTATCGATTTGTTTGCAAATTTTGGACTACGGGGTTGGAAGTTGGCACGAGAGGGTAAGCGAACATGCTGATTACGAATACAATACTGGTTTTTAGAATTATCAGTTATTTTTATCATTTTATCGATTTTTTGCAAAGTTCAAGCTACGGAGCTAGGAAATGGCACGCGGGGGTAATCGAGCATGCTGATTACGAATACAGTATTAGTTTTTAGAATTATCAGTTATTTTTATCATTTTATCGATTTTTTGGCAAAGTTCAAGCTACGGGGCTGGGAGTTGGCACAGGAGGACAAGCGAACATGCTGATTACGAATACAATATAGCTTTTAGAATTATCAGTTACTTTTATCATTTTATCGATTTTCTGGCAAAGTTCAAGCTACGGGGCTGGGAGTTGGCACACGGGGGTAATCGAGCTTGCTGATTACGAATATGACAACTATTTTCAAAAATGCCCATTACTTTTATCATTTTATCGACTTTCTGGCAAAGTTCAAGCTACGGGGCTGGGAGTTGGCACACGGAGGTAATCGAGCATGCTGATTACGAATATGATAACCATTTTCAAAAATGCCCATTACTTTTATCATTTTATCGATTTTTTGGCAAAGTTCAAGCTACAGGGCTGGAAGTTGGCACACGGGGGTAATCGAGCTTGCTGATTACGAATTTGATAACCATTATCAAAAATGCCCATTACTTCTATCATTTTATCGATTTTCTGGCGAAGTTCAAGCTACGGGGCTGGAGGTTGGCATACGGGGGTAATCGAGCATGCTGATTACGAATATGATAACTATTTTCAAAAATGCCCATTACTTTTGTCATTTTATCGATTTGTTTGCAAATTTTGGACTACGGGGTTGGAAGTTGGCACGAGAGGGTAAGCGAACATGCTGATTACGAATACAATACTGGTTTTTAGAATTATCAGTTATTTTTATCATTTTATCGATTTTTTGCAAAGTTCAAGCTACGGAGCTAGGAATTGGCACGCGGGGGTAATCGAGCATGCTGATTACGAATACTGTATTAGTTTTTAGAATTATCAGTTATTTTTATCATTTTATCGATTTTTTGGCAAAGTTCAAGCTACGGGGCTGGGAGTTGGCACAGGAGGACAAGCGAACATGCTGATTACGAATACAATATTAGTTTTTAGAATTATCAGTTATTTTTATCATTTTATCGATTTTTTGGCAAAGTTCAAGCTACGGGGCTGGGAGTTGGCACAGGAGGACAAGCGAACATGCTGATTACGAATACAATATAGCTTTTAGAATTATCAGTTACTTTTATCATTTTATCGATTTTCTGGCAAAGTTCAAGTTACGGGGCTGGGAGTTGGCACACGGAGGTAATCGAGCATGCTGATTACGAATATGATAACCATTTTCAAAAATGCCCATTACTTTTATCATTTTATCGATTTTTTGGCAAAGTTCAAGCTACAGGGCTGGAAGTTGGCACACGGGG